TGTTCCCAATAAGCCATCTACCTTGGTTTTTGAGACAAGATATCTGACTGGGACACCCAAAATATTGTGTTTTGTATATGTGAATTGTTGTCATTTGTTTATAGGGTGAGAACATTCCTGTCAATGTGCCCCTTTAATTTACCACATAAATCTCCAGATGGCAGACCATTCTAAACATGCTGTAGTACTCCTTAAGTCTCTGTCTAGTGGGAGTTGTCAACCTCAAGTCAAAGTTTAAAACATTATTTTATAAATACAAATTTTGAGTAGTTCAGAGGCTGTATTTTGTCAGTTGGTAGTAACATTTCGTTGTTTGGTGGCTGTTTTCTTGTTGTTGTTGTTGTTGTTTGACACCGTCTTAAAGTATACCCAAGATGGCCTGGCACTCACTCGCTATACAGCCCCAGAAAGCCTCAAATTCAAGGCAGTCCTGATTCAGCCTCAGTAGTGCTGGGGTTACCAATATGAGCCACCACGCTCTGTTTTGACTTAATGTTTTTGTGTGGTATTTCTAATATGGTACAGGTTTCTTGGCTAACATTGCTCTGGGTAATGGGCATGCTTTTGAGGTGTACACTGCCCTTACGTGGATCACTGTGGTCCCACTGGCCATTGCCCGTTCTGGATACTGCACTGAGTATATGGGTCACTGTGACAATGTTATTGTCTCTTTTCTGGAAAGCCGGTAGCCACCTCTTGCTCCTAGTTTTAACCTTGATGATTATGCCTTTGGTTCTCAGCCATGGAATGGCACTCTGGTGCCAGCTGTCCTGCTGTTTCTTAAGCTGCTGCTGTTTACTTGTGCATCAGTGCTCCCAAACACCTGGCCCGCTGTGACTGCTTCCAGCATTTTTGCAGTCAGGCTGACTAGTTGACTGCCTCCAACCACTCATCTGCATGACTGTGTACCCCTGCTCCTGACAAGGCAGTTAGTGTGCAGCCCCCATTTTGTGATTGTCCCCAACATAGACCTTAGATGTGTGCTAAACTCCAACTCCAACAGGCATCAGCGAGACCACACTGAAAGAGCCTCTGCCCTGAAGGAATAACAGTACTTGCTTGGAATGAATGAAAGGCAAGCATGTAGTGCCAGTGAAGAGTTCCCTGAGTACAGCAGGTAGTGAGCCTGTTGCAGAGGATGAACAGAGTGCTAACTGTGCTTACAACACCTGGATAGCACCTGCTTAGAGAGCCATTGGGAGCTGGCAGTGTGCAGTGCATTAATAGCTGGGGAAGCAGTGTTTGGTGATATTTCCTGACTGGTAGTTCATTTCTAAGCTGCTCTCATAGAAGTCTTCACTGTCCATACTATAATGGAGGAGCCAGGTGAAAGCAGAAATGCGCGGGGTGGGGTTGTCTCCGAACAACATCGGAATGAGTAATGATCCTCTGAGATTTCATACTCATCTTGTTCACATTGTAGCCCCCCTTCCTGCCAGGCACTGATGCCTTCATGTTGGCCAAAGCTCCTGCTGCAGTCCCCTCAGGGCTGCACTGCTGCCTTCCTTTCTTCAAAGGTGTCTGTGTTTTCCTCTACGTGTACACATCAGGAAATCCAAGAAAAGGGAAGAAAGCAAGCATGGCAGACTGACTCACGTAAAGTTCAGATGTCACATAGAAATAAGTGACTAGAGGTAGCTTTTGTTGCTTGTTGTTGTTTGCTGAAGGCTGACCCAGCATCCAGTTTCTCGAGGAAGTAGCGAAGGGGAATGGCATTGGTGATTGGGACCAGAAGCCAGTTTAACTCATTCTTGCTGTTCTTCTACGGCCAAAAGCTACTGGCTTCTGGCCAAGTGAGAGGCTCAGAGTTTATTAACTCTTCGTGAGCCATAGAGAAAAGAAAAGAAAGAAAGGGACAGGCTCGCGCTCTCTCTCGCCCTCTCTCGCTCGTGCTCGCTCTCTCTCTCTCTGTCTCTCTCTCTGTCTCTCTCTCTCTGTCTCTCTCTCTCTCTCTCTCTCTCTCCCGCCCCTGACACTATTGGGCCTGACTACCTGTTTCATGAATTCTTCAAGTGCACATGCATACTTAGATCCATACACATATCCCTACATATATATGTATGCACACATATAGACAGACACATATACATTTGGTGGATGGAGCAGAGCCCTAACAGCCACACTTTAGTTCTCTCAGCTTTTTATACCATCTTAGATAAAAGTTCTTTATTAAATTACATCATAGATAAATTTTTACACAAAAGGGGAGTTACAGAAGGATGTCCATAGCAAGTTCAAAGCAGTGTTTCATTTTATAAGCTCATTATAAGTTCAAAGCAGGGCTGGAGAGATGGCTCAGTGGTTAAGAGTACTGACTGCACTTCCAGAGGTCCTGAGTTCAAATCCCAGCAACCACATGGTGGCTCACAACCATCTGTAATGAGATCTGATGCCCTCTTCTGGTGTGTCTGAAGACAGCTACAGTGTATTCATATATAATAAACAAATAAATCTTTAAAAAAAAAATAAGTTCAAAGCAACAGTTTTATAGGACCTTGCTGTATCACGGTGCACACCTGAAGCCTCATTCTTGATTCTAACTTTATTATATCTTTCTGGAAAAACAACTAAAACCATCTCCTTAAACTTTCTTCCTAAAATCATTTGAATCAAATCAGGAATTCTGTAAAGTCACTAGTTCTTAACAGCATTAATTCATGAAAGTTCATCTTCATGTTGATCTGCAGGAAATTTGACCAATAGGGCTGATGCCCAGGAATCATTGGGCTATGCAATAGTAGCAGGAAAGGCATATCAACAGCAAGAAGCAACCCTGGGATGAAGTCTCTATGGCTGTGCCTCTCCAGAGCGCCTACTGCAGCCATGCAAAGCAATGAGCCATCTCCAGGAACCTCCAGGAAACCTGCTTGCCATAGCCTTTCTCAAATGGCTTTTGTCAGTTGTTTGTAAGCTTAGATTTTTCAAAACCTACTTTAATAAGGATTCTTAAATGCTTCAGCCTCCCCTCTAGCCCACCACCCATCAGAGACAGTCGAAAAGAAAGGTTATTAGGACACAGGGGAAGTTGACCTGTTTAGAAATAGTTCTTTGAGGTGATTCCAATCTTCATTGTCAGGATGTCAGCAGTTCAGTTCACTAGTAAACCACGAAACATGGGTCAGCAGCGGCAGCTTCATCTAGAATAAGTCCCAAGGCTTCACCGGATTGGTGTGAGTCTGTAGAAGTGGCAAGAAGCTGCTGAAATGTCCCAAGAAGTTCTTTGGCAAATTACTTCTATGAAGTCACACCAGGCAAGGATTAGCAACGCCATGTAAGGCGTTAAACATTCTCCAGCAGCAAGTGCAGCATCTTGATGCCAGCAACCTCACTGCAGACCACTAAGGATCAGGTTAACAACTGGAGTTCTCCATGGGTGGAGTGGATGGAGTGCCTCTCTCATCCACCCTTCAATCCTAAGGGTTTTGTAATGGATATTTTGTGGGGAGGGAAAGGAAGGATGCTGCTGCTGCTTACCCCGGAGCTATTCTCCCTCCTTGTTATTTAAACTGCAGCAGTCAGGAAAATGACAGTCAGGAAAATGAAGGTAGAAACACCTTCCATCGAATTTTAAGTGCCACTCTCTAACTTCAATGTCCCAAATTCTTTCATGGTGAACTCATAGAATTCATAGAATTTTACTAAAGGCCACACGGAATTTGAGATTAGGTTTTTTTCTTCCCAATCTAACGTAAGTAAAAACAGACAGCAGTACTGGATGTGATGGTCACTCAGCCGGTGCCCTCTTAGTGCTGGGATTTGAAGAGTGAGTGCAGTGTGCAGACCCAGAGCCGTGCGTCAGTCAGAGTGAAGCCACAGGTGCCCTTAGGTCGTATCCCACCACGGTACCACAGGCCCCAGACAGAGCAGACTCAGGGAAGGAGGGCTCTCTGATCACCCAGTAAACCTTGTTCTACATCGTGTTCCTGTGGCACATATTTTTGTAAAAGCCAAGACAGCAGGCTTTTCGTTCAGAATAATTAATTTATAGAAATGTAATAAGTGTTCTAGAAATGCAGACACCAAAATAGTATTTCTGTAGCCCGAGTTTAGGAACTGCACTCCCAGGAGTCTCTCGTAGTCACTGTTGGGTGGACAGCTGTGGAACTGCTTTGAATTTTTTGTGGTGTTTTAGAAACTTTACTTATTCTGATGTTTAGAACTGGCCTGTGCTTGACAGCTGCATGGTAGGTAAGGCTCTTCCTTTCACAGCTGCATGCACAAGACTTAGAATAAGTACCATTTAGTACTAGGTGTGCGTGTGCGTGTGTGTGTGTGTACAAGGCTATCCCTTTATGTATGTTTTCCAAGTAGGGCAAGACTCCATAAGAAGTCATGTAACTTTCTCTTTGAGAGTGGATTGACTTGCCCTGGGATGTAGCTTATCGATAGAGCTTGCCTGGTTGGTATGTGTTAGTGCCTGGAATCCTTCCCAGCATCATAAAAGGTCA